TCTTTTAAGCACAATTTCTGGTCATCACCATGTTGTCACCAGGTTTATTCTGCTGGGAGCTGGAGAGGGCGCCCCATGCTTTCTACTTGGCAGGCTGAATTTGAGTGAAATGTGGAAAACATGTTTATTGTGCCTTTCTTCTTACTACATTCCCACCCTGAGGCCAGAGAGTCTGTGCTTCTTCAATCTTGGAGCTTCTGAGACGTCCCCAGTGACCTGTCAGGATGGAGTGTCTCTGGAACTTGGAATATTCTCAGCCTATTGTTGCACACGAGGCGTCCAGAGGCTCCCAGATGTGTATCTGGCCCTTTGATCCTATTTGCATCTTCCTTTGTGGGTGAACCATGAGACGTGTACTTCCTCTGCCCTCAGCCTGTGCTGACAGGAAGTGAATGCTGGCTGGGGCCAGATGAATGAATGAAGAGCTGTAGCATATCCCACTGGAGATCCAGATCCTCACAGGCCCTCTTTGTTGAAAACCAACTGTGTGCCAGGCACTTCACTAGGTCCTCTGCATGTCGTCATCCTCAGTCTTCCCGCGAGCACTGAGCACTGCTCTTAAGGTCTCATCTTGAAGAGCAGCCCAGAGGAGCAGAGTGCTGCCTGTGTCCCCAGGAGGAATGGGGCCAGCCAGCCCATCTTGTCACCATGCAGCCCCTGCCAGAGTCCTGTCATCATCAGTCTGTGTAAATCCCCGTGCCCTTCTCTGAAATGACTTAAACAAATGAAAGTCTGAACAGTGTGTATGGGGTGTCTACAGTTATCGGATGCCATGCTGGATTGTGTGCCTTGTCTCAGTTCCCAGGACAAAGCAGCAGAGTTGCAGTTAAAATTTGAAATTGAGTTCTGGGTTCAAATCCAGATTGTTCAGCTTCCTAACTAATCACCCTATCTCTACTTTAAGAACCTAGTGAGCTACTGTATGTACAAGACTTAGAAGAGTGCCTGGCTCTGTTCTCAAGAAACAGTTTCCAGGGTACTTTGTGAGTGCGGGAGTGAGTGTGTGGGTGTATTCCATTTTACAAATGAGGAAGCTGATTCTAAAAGCAGTTAAATAACTTGTTCAAGTTCAGTCAACTAATAAATGACACTCGCAGATATGCCATCTGTCTCCAAGGCAGCCATGATGTGGCTGAACATCCTAAAGGTCCGCAGGATGACAGTATCTTTTACTTGGAGAGCGCTTTTCCTAAGCAGGTGCTCACTAACCTTGTTTCTTGCATTTATCACCGTCCCTGGAAGCTGGTCCGTTCTCTGTGTTTTGACGTCACTGTCTGCAGTCCTCTACAATCAGGCACCAGGCTGCACAGACGACCTTTGGCTTCTCCTGATCACCTGCTGAGTTCGCAATCACAGTTACTTTTTTGTCCCTGTTTCAGACATGCTGAATCAGAATCTTGGCGGTGGGGCCCCAGCGTTACATTTTATCCAACTCCCTGGTTAGTTATTTGTTCACCAAGTGGGAGAGCCTGCATTGTCCCATGTGCTTTCCCAAGACATAATAAGGGTTAACGGAGAGACACCAAGTGGTGGAGATAAAATCCATTTTATTTATTTAGCAAAAATGTATTGGGAGCTAACTAGGTCCTAGGTATCTTGCAGAAACTTAAAAATATCCAAACACATCATAAAAACAGCAATATAATCAGTATTTGTGAGATGCATTCATAATGGTTTAAAAGTACTCATATCTCTCATTTCAACAACTCTGTGAGGCAGTGTCTATGGAGCTGGAACTTGGAGCTGGGCCTTATACTCCTGGCCCCTCAACCCCTCTGGTGTGAACTACAACAGGAAAGGAGGGTAGGGATCATGGGTGCATAACTGCATGGGGAGCTGGGGAGGACTTCCCAGAGGGGGGCTTGTCCCCACTGGGTGGCAGCATTCCATCACTCATTTGGGGGCAGAGCCAGGCTGAAACTCTGCAGATGTGTCTGCCTCCCATGGCAGGACTGTGGGGGGCATTTTGTTCCCACAGTGCAGACTGTTTGGAATCCCCACCAAGGCTGAAAAGTGGTTCACCCTGGAGGGGAACTTGAGCCACAGCTGGGGACAGCAGAATGCTAATAAGCTTGCGTAGAAAAGCAATGACCCCCAAAACCTAACAGAAGCATCATTCTCTGCAACTCACTGGGCCCATAAAAATCCCTAATTTAGTCCTGGTCCTGGAAGAAACCCCAGCAAAGCTATCTGTCTTTAACATAATTTTCAGCCCAGAGCGATCCTAAATTGCATCCACTAAAGCCTCATTCTCCCCATGATGTTGCCTGTAAATTGACCAGTGAGTCTCTTCCCAGCACCCTCGAAGTGCTCGTTAGCTGATCCTAACCTGCATCACAGAGAACAGAGACCCCAGGAAGGGCCTAGAGCGGTCCGCAAACTCGGTGCTCGGTGACTGCCAGGACACCAATGCCACAGCAGTTTGTAACGACCAGATGCTTAAGGAAAGCATTACCAGAGTTCTGTGTGGACAGTTCTCCAGCCATGATATCAGTGTTTGCCATAATCAAATTAAGAAAATGATCAGTCCTATTTATTCATGGAGAACTAAGACAGGAAAATGATCCATTGCAATTACCCAGCCCTTTCCAAACACACAGCTGAGGCTGGACTTCACTACAGACATGCTGTGTCCCAGTGGCTCTGTCTTCTCTCAGCTCCGTACACATCCCACTGAGGCATGGCTGTGCTGCCAGGACTTCTGTCCCATCGCAGTGCCTTGCAAGCAAGTGTTTTATTCATGAAGCAGAATAAAAGAGGAGCTGGAAAAGGCTAAGTGGGGGAAGCATGCTAGCAGGAAACCAAGGCCAGGGACTTGAGGTTTGGGGGCTCTGACAGCTGAGCCCAGAGGGCCATGGACCATCAGATACTACCCCTCATGTTCATGCTGTGTCTTCTCATCTCCAACGCCCTCCCCTAAGTGGCCTCAGGTCATGCAGAGCCAGACACTCACTGCTAGCTGCCAGCACCTTTCAGTAGTGTTGACCTCAGAAGCCCCAGCTAAGTTGGGGACCAGAATGTCTTTAAGGCAACCTCTGAGCCAGATGCACGATGCCCCCCAGTGGCTGAACTACTGAAATTCTCTTAAGTATGCCCAAGCATGTCTTTGTCAAGGATGCTGAAACAGGGCTGAGCTGTGCAAAGTTGCCCTCACCAGCTGCCCTGTGCCATGTCACCCTGTACCCACCTGCTTGCCCATGCCAGCCTTTTATCATCGTGGACAGTATTTAGGACATCTGCTTCCATCCTTTCTTTCAATATTAGTGCTAGGAGTAGAGAAAAACGTATGACTGTTCATACTACAGTGTTAATGACTTAGCTTAAGGATATGCATGTCATTACATATGTGTGTTTTAAGGAAGTTTCAGCACACTGACTCCCCCAGTAGCTTCTAACTATGCTGATGAGGAAGGCAGAAATAGGAAATCTTGCATCTGTCCACCTCAGAGTCCAGTGAGCTGAGACTAAAGCAGACTTTCGGCAGCCATCACCAATCCAGTGGTCTAGGTTTAGACTCGTGTGCACTGCCACCCTTTTACACCATATTCCTAGATCTTCTTGCCACCTAACTTCCATTGGACATTAGAAAACTAAATTCCAATAAAGCCATGCCAATGTCCAAATTCCAAGGCATGCACATTGTTCTAAAAGCACCACTCTGTGTGTCCACACTTTCTTTCCCTCACATGCACACAGTCACACACACCCACACACGTGGCACAGCCTCAGGTGAACATGATTATTCTCTCCCACAGTGTCAATGGCAGCATTTTCCACACTCCATGTACTCTGCACCTGCACTGCTGGGGAGGCCAAGGTGAGACGCCTCTCACGCCCAGTGCTGCGCAGAGTTCGAGGAAATAGAAATGCAGACATGATACCTGGGCTGGGCCACCCAAGGACACCGTCTGGGTCGTAGTCTGGGCTGCTGTCACCACAGTGGCCTGGCTCTCGGGACTCTGTGGAGAGTGTCTTGGAGCCACACAGCCCGAGAGGAAGGGGAGATGCTTCTGCAGAGCCGAGAGTCCCGATGAAGACCGTGCTGGGTGTCCCCCAGGCACGTGGCCTTCAGGGTGGTGCCAGGGGTGATCTATCAGAACTTGGAGTGGGTTCTAGGCCCAGAGAGGGGTCTGTGTCTCCCTAATGAGATGATGCTGAGATAAGCTTCATTTGTGTAAGGGCAGATCCTTGTGATTATGTCATTAGTTTTGTACATGCAGAACCATGTCCTGAATGTTGTCACATCCCTAAAGGTAGGAGAGCCGCAGCCAGGTGACAAGGTTTCACAGTATATTCACCAGTGAGGGAATCCAGGGCATGGGGGGAGTCGCCTTCACCAGCTGCCATCCTTAGCTCTGGGACAGCAAGTGACTGTCTGGGGATGTATGAGGTGCACACGGGTACACATGTGCACAAGTTTTGCCGGTGTCCGTGTGGCCCAGATTGTGTGCAGAGGAAGGTTTGCAGAGAAGGCTGTGTCCAGGGTCTCCCCAACTCACCACCACCACCTCACCACCCCCCACCTCCTCCAACCCCCCCGCCCTCCGCCCCCATAGCTCATTTCAGGAAGCCCGAGGCAGAATGATTAATCCCAGCTGTGAGGGTTAGGAAAACCAGGCGAGAAGCCACATTATGATACTGCTGGTGACCCTGACCACAGACGAAGTTGCCAGGTTAGAACAGGTCCTAGGTGGTGAGTGGGTGTGCTGTCAGGAACAGCCCCTGCGTAGCCTCTCCTGGGCAGGGCACCTTCCAGCCTACCCAGGGGCTCCTGGTTCTGTGTGGGCCACTTCTGCCGCGTTTGGGGAAAGGAAGGAAAACAAGAGTTGGAAAAGCTTTCCATATTAGCTTTGTTTTCTTCTAACCAGCTTTCCCAGATTCTGTTTAAAGTTTCCAAAAGGATTACACTCCCTCCCCCTCAACCCCTCCCCCCACCCCACTAACAACAAGGGCACTTAGAAGCATTCACCGATGGGTTTCAATATTGTGTGCCTTTCCAGAAAGAGAAGAAGAGTGGGCTGCTGAAACTTCTAGCCGGGGCATCCACCAAGAAGAAGAATCGCTCCCCACCGTCCATCTCTCCCACCCATGACCCCCATGTGGCAGTGGACGCCTCGCTTCAGGGTGCAGTGGGGCTCGAAGTGTCCTCACTGTCCCTCCATGGCCGGGCAGGGTCTTGCCCCATAGAGAGCAAGATACAGGGGGCGATGGGAATGGAGCCACTGCACAGAAAGACGGGCTCCTTGGACCTGAACTTCTACTCATCCCCTTCCAGGAAAGCCCCTTTCTCCATGGCTGCCGCCCGCCCTGAGCCCAAGCCATTTCCCAGAGAGAGGTAAGGCTGAGGGTCAGCTTGCATCCTCTAAAACCTTGCTGTGGGTTGATCTGTGAAGTCTGGAGCCACTTTTGGGGAGCAGGGACAGCGGGGATTTCCTGAGGATTAAATTGACTAGACACCCTCACTAGCCAGGACTACTTGGGTCCTGACCTTGGAGGTGAGCATCAGATAAAACCAGTTTGGGAATAAATGGGAGCATATTTCATGTTCTGAATCCCTCTGGGTCCTGAGTTTGGGATTTACAAGTGATTCATCAGGAAATTGTTCAGAACTGATGAGATACTGAGCCAAAGGGAGTAGAGAGGAGGCTGTGTCCATCAATCCTGAGGAACCCCTAGAGTGGGCCGCTGGGCTAAGTCCCCACAGGCCTGTGCACCCCACACAGGAAGCAGTTTTTTTGAAGTTTAGCCTACTCTGACATCTTAGAATTAAACCTTACCCCAAAATTGGCTTCAAGGATACACACACACACACACTTGGGTTGAGCCACATGAAATTGCTGACATTCTTTTTTTTTTTTTTTTTAACAAAACGAGCAATTTCATAGGGTTCAACCTAGAGTCTGAGGAAACTGAGTCTAACTGAGGTGACGTGGTCCACGTTTGTAGGGTGCCGGTGCTTGAATTTTACAAGAGGTCAGAGGATCAGATTCAAATAAGGGTTGGGCTGTGGTGCGGAGAGAAGGGATGGCATCAGCTCAGGGTGAAGGGGCTGTGGAGAGAGGGGAAGGGAACAGCTCAGGGTGACGGGGCTGTGGAGAGAGGGGAAGGGAACAGCTCAGGGTGACGGGGCTGTGGAGAGAGGATGGCATCAGCTCAGGGTGACGGGGCTGTGGTGTGGAGAGAGGGGATGGCATGTGCTCAGGGTGATGGGGCTGTGGTATGGAGAGAGGGGAAGGGAACAGCTCAGGGTGACGGGGCTGTGGAGAGAGGGGATGGCATGTGCTCAGGGTGATGGTGCCATGGAGAGAGGTTTCACATGGGTCCGCTCAGCACACCTTTTCTAACAAGGTCCAGATAATAAGTGTTGCAGATGTTGAAGTTCACAGTCTCTGTTGCAATGCTCGCCTCGCCACGAGGGCATAAAGGCACCATATACATATGGAAACAATGGGGTGGGTGTTCCAGTACACCCTCCTATGGACACTGAAATTTAAAGTTCATGTGATTTGCCTGTGTCATGAAATATAATTCTTTTGATTTTTTTCCCAACTATTTCAAAATGTAACATTCTTAGCTGTCAGACCACACAAGTTAGGTGCAGGCCACAATTTGTCAACCCACGGTCTTGATGAAGGGATTTAGAGCCGAGCCATTGGGGTGGCATTGAGATCCTGAGCCACTGAGAACAAATCTCTCTCCAAGGTGGTGGAGGGACAACATGGGCCAGCAACTGCTGACTTCTGCTAAACAGCAAAAATATGTCTGTCTTTACACCTGCTTTTAGAATAACTAGGATTTGCAGAACACTCTGTGCAGGGGTGATATTCAGAACCTTTACCAATTGATATGGATCCCAGCCATACACATCCAGGGCAGCCATGTGTACATGCAGCTTAACATCTGCCAGCACCTCAGTTCATCCCCTCAGTAACCCCATTTTATAGATGAGAAAACTGAGGTTTAGTAAAATGCTGAGTAACTTGCTCACGATCACACATATAGTTCCATAACTAATGCCCTATCTCCCTGCGGGCAGCCACCCCAGCACCCTTCCCCTCCGCATGCTTGCCTCTGGCTCTCCTTGGCAATATTGCAGAGTGGCTTCGAGCAATAGGCACACTCACCATTTCACTCCAAATAAGGGTTTCTGTTTGTTTTTATTTTGAGTTGCAGTTCCCCATATATAAAATGGAGATAATAATACCTATCTGGTAGTTACAATATTTGTGAAAACCTAGATTAATACCTGGAAAATTATGAATGCATAAATAGCAACAATAATAATATATGAAATGATATATAATACTATTATATCATATAACGTATATATTAATCCATTTTTTATTGCCACCATCTCTTTTTCCATATGTTCACACACAGTCTGTCCATCCTCAATCTTGCTGGCCTGTATGTTGTTTGGCTTCGTTGGGATGTCCAAGGTTTTGGCTTTGATGTATTGTGTGGCATGGTAGGTAGGATAATGACTCCCAAAGATGTCTGTGCCCTAATTCCCCAAGTCATGACTATATGATCCCCACATGGCAAAGAAGACTTTAATGTTGCAGAGGGAATAAAGATAGCTAACTATGGAGATTATTCTGTGTTATCAAAGTGAGCCTAGTATGACCACCGGAGTCCTTATTAGTGGAAGAGGGAGGCAAAAGACGAGGTCAAAGGGATCTGACGGGAGAAGGACTCCCTCGCCCTTGATGTCCTTGAAGATGGAGGAAGGGGCTTCTGGCCCAGGAATGGGGGCAGCTCTGAGGAGCTGGAAAAGGCCAGGGCACAGTCTCCCCTGGAGCCTCCAGAGGAGCCGGCCCTGCTGAGACCTTGACTCTATTCCTGTGAGACTGTGGGATGACTTAATGAACCATGAGATAAGAAATTCGTGTTTTATTATGCCATTAAGTTTGAGGAAATGTGATATAGCAGCAATAGGCAACTGAAACACATGTTGATATTAGAGTGTGGTGTCCAGGGTATAGGTGTGTCCTTAACATTTCCAAGTTCCTAGACCACTCTCCAGTAACTCGGGGACCACGTGTCCCCCACAGTGCTGAAGCCAGTGCTGCGGAAAGCCTGCCAGGCAAGGCCCCTTGTGGCCCCTGCTGTTGGGGGGGAGATGACACAGGAAGAGGACACTTCAAACCTCACACGCAAGGCTAACTGCAACATGCAGTGGTAAGAATTCATTCTGATTTTGAGCTTTTTTATTCCCTGAGTCTTATATCTGAAAACTAACTGTGGGCGACATAACCTCATCTCAGCAGAGTTCTCACTGATGTAAGACGCGTGATCCTGACCGGGAGGAGCTGCTGTCCTCCAGTGTGCCGGGGCGTTTGGTGCCTGTAACAGGAAGTGCCAGTTACATCTGTGCAGCAGGAAGAATAGCTCAGAGTCTTGGAATGATCTGGACAGAAATGTTAAATGCCTGTCTCGGATATATTCCGCCCACATCACCCATCTAGGCTCATTAAACTATTTCATTGCTCAGAAGCACAAAAGTACTTTTTTCCCCTAACAAATAACATTTTAAAATTTGCTTGTTTGTTTCACATCTGGCAAAAAACAAAATTTTTGTTCAGAGTTTGAGAAATCAACTCACTCTTGCCTTTCTTTTCCTTGAGGAACTGAGAGGAGGCAGGTGTTTGGAAAGGAGGTGAGGGTGGCAGAAAGCCACAGGGACGACCCAGGCTGGTCTTGGTGTTCGCACACACAGCCTGAGTGCTGGGGCCTGGGGACAGTGTGGTGTGTGCAGTACTGCCTGACCTCACAGGTCATCTGTCCTCCTCGGGGCGTGACCTGCAGGCAGCTGTTTGCATCACTGGGCTGGGAGGAGGGTGGAACTTATATGCTCCTTTCTCTCCTCCTCCATATCCCCAAAGCCAGCTTTTGGCTCCCAGCGATGGCAGCGGAAGCTTGCCCAGCCGCCTGTACCTGCAGCCACTCTGAGGCACTCAGCCTAGCTAGCCCGCCCCTGGGCCGCAGGAGCATGCATGCCTGTCACATAAACCGCGGAAGCCTCCTTCCTCTCCGCCCCAGCTTGCCCGCCTGGAACCGACGGTCTGTGTGTCCAGGGGCTGTGGGCACCGAGGCTGAGCCTGGGTCGTCATCCCAAGCCCAGCCACTGCCCTGGACAAGGCTTGTCTGCTCCGCCCAGATGGGCCAGTACCCAGGCCTGTGAGTCAGTGGGGCTGAGGGAAGATGAAGTCTCCTCAATGTTTTCTTACTCAGCACCTTGATTCTCAGACATCAGTATGTATAATTTATTTAAAATCTACATTCCCTGCCCCATCCCCAGCATCTCAGCAGGCAGGGACAGGATGGACGCAGAAATCTTGGCCCAGGTCCTGAAGTCTGTGAGCCACTCTGAGAAATGCAGACTTGGGATCTTTTGTTTTATAATGAATGTCCTGGTTTTATAAAGACGAGAATGTACCAGGGAAAGGCTCCATATAGAACTATGTGCCCTCAGGACAGCCTGCTGCCATTTGTGTGGCTGTGGCTGAAGGGAGAAGGCAGGGTCGGGGCGGAGGGCAGGCCTTTACTGCTGGCTGATGGCCCAAGGAAGACAAGGGTAAAAAAAGTCTCCCACCTTCCCCCACCCAGCCAGTGGGCCCTAGACCGTGGCCCAGACACTGCAGGGAGAAGAGGACACAGGATAGTGTCTCCTCAGAGGCCCCTCTCTCCAGGTCAGGCCCTGGGCCTCTAGGCCACCACCACCGTACAGATCGCCAGGATTCTTCACTGTGTCCATCAATCCTGGGCTAAGTCCCCACAGGCCTGTGCACCCCATACAGGAAGCAGTTTCTTACTCAGCATCGTGGGGTCTCTGCAGCCTTCGGCAGGAGAAGGGAAGACAGGAGGCCCAGACACAGTTTGGTGGGAAGCAGGGAGGGGGAATAGCAGTAGGGTGCATGTCATCATGTCACTCAGGGAGTGCAGGGTGCAGGGAGAGGGCCCAGGGCCCCCTGCACAGGAGCCGCAGCACAGACCTGTTCTCCCCACCCAGCCCCGCACACACTTCCACTCCTGTCGTCTTTTATGCCCACAGCAGAGGCATCATCGGGGCCTGGTCAGCTGTAACTATGAGCTGAACAGGGTAGCAGCTGTTTGCTGGGAGGCTGATGTGGATGGAGCTGCAGGTCCCACTGACCCCACTGCCCACTGCCCAGCCTCTCCCTCACCAGCAGCGGGGACTCCTGGCCCCCAGCTGGCCCTCCTCCACTTCTGCCCTCCAACTCCCCCGGCAGCCGCACCCTTCAACCGTCAGTCCCATTGTGGGCCTGCAACTCTCTCCGAGTCTCTTAGCAGAGGGACCTGTGGCGAGGTCACGGGGAGAATGTGGCTGAGGGTGACTGGATGCGTGCCCTTCCAGGTGGCCCAGGCTCAGTCCTCCTGGTCAGTGGAGGAACGACTACTGAGCATCTTGGCCTGGTCAGGCCGAGTACTCCCCAGCGCCTCAGCCTACCCAGGTCTGTCGCAACCTTCAGCTAGGGGCTTTTAGGGAGTGAGAGTGGCTACAGCCTGCCTGCACCAAGCCCGTGCACAGTTAGTACTTGGATTCTGTCCTGGAGCCCTGCTCCGGGTCCAGCTGGACAGACAGAGGGTGAAGGTCCAGTCCGATGTCAGCACACATGCCCCTGTGAGTTCTCTGAGGGGCGGGAAGGTATGGGTGGCTGGAGTGGTGGGGGCAGGGCAATTCCTGTCAGGCTGGGACAGTGAGGGGTACGGGCACAAGGGCACCTGCTAGCTTGTCCTTGATGGTGTTTTAGAAGAAGGCTGGTCCTCAGATCAAGCACAGCTTCTTTTCAGCCTTCCTCCTCCTCCTCTGAGGCCTTGCGGACAGGTGTGAGTGTGGGATGTATGCCAGACCTGCCCTGTGTGACACTAGGGCTCTTGGCAAGATGCCGGGGAGGGGCAGACCACTGTCTCAGATCCGGGAGCTGTCGGAGCAGCTCTCAGGGATAGCACCCGGTGTGCACCCAACCGGACACCTGCTGAGCCTCTCGGGCCCTCAGAGGTCTGTGCTTGGTCTGGTTGGAGCTCAGGCCACAGCACCCCTCCAGGTGCCCTGCCCGCAGTGTCACCACTGGGATCATATGTCACGTTGGTCTGAAAATGAAGGGTGAAGAGTTCAAAGGCCATAGGGAGGGCCAGGTTTGCAGGAATGAGGTGTGAAACACCGGGCCTTGTTTATGAAGGGATCTCAGAGGCGCTGGGGGCACAGGGTCAGGGTCCTGTGCCACAATGGGGACACGGCCGCCTGTCTTGCCCCGGCCACCAGGAGGCCAAGGTTTGAGGTGGCCTGAGGGAGGACGTGGCTTGGAGAGGCCGCATGTGGGTGGAAACATCCCAGCTGCCTGGATCAGGGTCTAAAAGGCATCACAGGGAAAGGCTACTATCAAATTTTTAATAAAAATGAAAAAAAAAAACTTAAGTGGGAAAAGTAGCCCCAAATTACAACAATGTTCCAGACGGGAAAAGGAAAAGAAAAGAGCGATCTTGCCAGCAGAGCAGGCCACCCTGGGTCATTCTCAGCCTTCTGGGTCAGGCTCACCCACTGTGGTGTCTGTCCCCCCTTCAGGTACCGTGTCGTGGTCTCGTACCCGCCCCAGAGCGAGGCCGAGATAGAGCTGAAGGAGGGAGACATTGTCTTTGTGCACAAGAAGCGTGAGGACGGCTGGTACAAGGGCACCCTGCAGAGGAACGGCCGCACGGGCCTCTTCCCGGGCAGCTTCGTCGAGAGCTTCTGAGGACAAACTCTCCACACGCCACTCACCGGGGAGAAGGCCTTCCGGGAAGCCCAAGGCGCCAGGAGAGGGCCACCACTCCCCCAGGCCTCAGGTCCCTTCCAAGGCCCCTGCAGGGTGTGGGGGTCGTGCCTTCACCCACAACCCCCTACCGAGAGCACATCTTGGGGTTGTTCTTGGATGAGATGCCTGCCACCCCATGTGAACCGTAGAGAAGTGAGTTAGGAGGAGGAAGATGCTGCCTGGGTGGCTCCCCGAGGTGGCTCCTGTGGTGGCTCCCCGAGGTGGTTCCCCAAAATGTCTCCCCGAGGTGGCTCACTGTGCAGGGCTACGGGGCACAGAATGTCTTCATGGGCTGTCTAGGCTGCAGGTGGGGTCCAAATTGCTTCATTGACTCTCTTTATACCTCAGTCGCCTGCCACCTGCCCAGACCCTGGGGAAGCCTGGCTGTGTAGCCTGTGGGACTCCCACAGCTCCCATGGCTGGTCCCCATCAGCATTGGGAACAACACTTCTGTTGGCCACTGTCCCTTTGCATTGCTTATTTCTCACATCTTTTTAATGTAAAGCTGTTAAACTTTATATATTTCTAATCAGTCATACATTGCCTATTTTTCATACATCTGGTGCTGCCTTTTTGTAATGACTTGGTTGAGTTTGAAAGAAAAAAATGTCCGAGGAAACATCAAATGGGCAGAATTTTTATATTTACTATATGAACTTTGGAGAAATCCAGAAAGCCCACGTTCTCAATACCACAATGCCCTGCACCACAGGATAAGAGGGAATCCATTTAGGGGATTCAAGGTAGTTTGGAAAAAGCCAATTTCTTTCAACCTTTACCAAAGCCCCGTGCTCTGTCTAGACAGTGTAATTGTTACTCAAGAACATGCAACTTCAGGGAAAGTGGCTATCATCGCCTTTTGTGTGGCAGTGAGAGGGGCATGAAGGTGGACCCACCCTGAAAAAGCGGAATTTCCTTCTTACTGCTTTAGCAAGAGTGACAACAATTCGCTTATCAAAATATGATTTATCACTATTGAAATGTGCAGTTTTTACCCCAGTTCAGATGTAAACCTCCACAATTTACAATACCTGGTGAAGATCTTGCCTTTTTACAGTATATAATTGCTCCCTTGTCGGGCAGTGTGAACCTGAGTGTAGAGACTGGAGGTACATGGGGTAGCAGGAGTGAGTCCTCTGCAAATGAGGGGCTGGGAGCTGGGAGGGGCTGGGGGAGAGGTGGAAGGGCAGCTCTGACCCTGGGCCCCCACAGGTGGGGTCCAGGACACAGCTCATCTCCACAGATGCTGCCTCCTGGAGCCCTGTCACAAGGCGGTCTTGTTTTTAAGAGATTCACACCTTAGGAATACATTCTTATCTGTTCAGAGTCACAACTTGCAAACTCTCTCTATACATTTTTACAGATCACTCAGGTTTAAATTAGGCTGAATAATGAGCCTTTGGTAACACTCTCCCTGATTTTTAGGGATGCAACGAAATCCAGAAACCCATTCCCTCGCCTGGGGTGATGTCTCTGAAATACAAACACTTTATTTTCAGAGTTCCTATTTGGGGATGTGACTGGGATATTTGTTACTGCCAGGTGGCTACCAGGCTGGTGGCATTGTTCCTATAGCAAGGCTCATTTCCTTGCTGGTAATATATTTAATAGGCTTAAGAAAGTTCTTCTAAATAAGAAAATAAATGAAGTTTAAATATAGGGAGCCCTGGGCTCAAGTTAATGGCGACCATCAGTTGCCAACTTAGCTGCCTACCTTGCACATCAATCATGTGCATGTTTCAAATCATGTCATTGCCAAAAACATGCTGGCTGAGACAGGTATTCTCCACTGAGACCAGAACTAACTCCAATTCCCACAGAATAAGAAGAGCAAAAAAAAACCAACAGCAGTTATCATGCAACAGAATAGACTAACTTGGACCTTCTTTCCTTTCCTGCCACCACCCACATGGTGCTCTGGTTGATAGAAGTGCTGAGCAGCTCAGTGACTGTGGGGGAAGCAGAAGCCATGGGGCCAAGCACCCCTCACAGCAGCGTGTTTGCAAGGCATCAGCTGGTCCAGCTCGAGGCAGACTCAGGGGTGGCCATTGGGACTGACTTGAGAAGTGATGCCCCCCAGCCAGGCATCCTCTCAGGAGGGCCTCTCAGGGCAAATGCGGGGCACTCAGAGGGCAGGTAGGTGCACAACAGGCCCCATGCTTTAGGCTGAGTGTTTCCAAACATGTTCAGTCAGACCCATCAGCCTTCATGACCATTTAACCCGCAGACAAGGGCGGGAGCAGGCTTAGACGCTTCTTTCAGGCCATCTTGCCTCAAAGGACACACTCCTTTTGTTTTCTAAGGTGAAACAACACCTTGTCTGAAACCCTCACATTCCCTCCTGGCCCAGGGACTTACTCAAGTTGGGTGCACAGTGGCATTTGGCAGCCAAGGTGACTTGCTTTGAGGAGCACAGTGGAGTCCATGGCCACCACTGAGGGAGGTCACCGAGGTGTTGGGGACATGGGGCCACCAGAGGACCATGGGAGGGATGTGGTGAGACAGAGCTGGACAAGAGCCCCCTGATTCTAGTGCCCCAAATAAGCTCAGTGGCCCAGCTGGAAATTATTTGTACTTTGCACAATTCACACACACACCCTAATGTTTTTGTTAAACACAAATGTCAGTGTGTGACTTCAGAAGAACTTACAGTGATGACAAACTATGATGCTGTGTTTCTGAGTCTTTAAATAAAAAATGAACATGGAGAGGTCTTGTGTCTGGTGGTAGGAACAGCGAGGGTGGAGCAGGGGCTGAGAGGGCCTGAGCAGAAACACCAGCTGGGTAGGGGAACTGAGCAGGCACCACCCGTGTCCCCACTGGTGCACACTCTTGTCACCTCAGAGTGCTCCCTGGTGGGAAACATGGGGTCTGTGTCAGCGTGAGGGGCCGCTGAGGAGACGGAGGAGATCAGACAGCCAACTAGCACACATGCCAGAGAACCACTGGCTGGGCGGCGAGAACCGAGACACAGGCTGGCTGGGCATAAAAGACCCCAGCTCTCCAAGACTCATGTGCCTGACAGCTCTGCTCCTGTGACTTCCTGTAGGTGACTCACATTCCTTTCTTGTGGGAAAGCTTTTCATGTCAGTAGTTATTCAGGTTCCTAGCAACCAGGAGTGGCTGGTATTGACCTCCCAGACTAGGAGTGGCTAGTGCTGACCTCCCAAACCAGCACTCTCACCACCCTGCTCTTGTCTGTCTGGCCCTTGTGGTGCCCGGGCTTTCTGCATCACAGGGTAGAGGGTGCCTCGAAGCCACCCACAGGAGGGACTTGAATGACTGCTAACCTCCAGAAAGGGGGGCTTGACCCAAATCGCCCAGACAGACTATTGCTGGGTTGAGAGCTGACACGTCAGGTGTTTTCTGAAATAGGCTTTCTCTGCCTGCTCAGGCACAGGAGTGCCTACATTCTTTGACTATCGTATATATCCTTCAGCTGGAAGGAAGCTTAGCAAAAAACCATTTCACTCTTCTGTAAACATTCAGAGAATGTGTATAAGACCAGATAACATATCATGAGTTATGGGTGAGGAGAATGGTGAGGAATGAAGCATATCTCAGGCTCACCTCATCTCCCAATAAGACTGGTTGAAAGATGCTCTTACCCTCACTTGCTACATGAGCGATCAAGGTTAGAAGAGGTTGAATTAATTGCTCCAGATCATATAGTTCATGGGACTCAAGTTCAAGTCCACTTTTATTTTATTTTATTTTATTTTATTTTATTTTTAGCCACTTTTAGAGAGGGAACAGTCTATGCAAATTCCCAGAGGGGCCAGAGAGAGCTTGGTTATAACTGAGAGACCAGGAAGGGAAGGGGAGGGGAAGGAGAATGGGCAGGGAAGCAGGGGCATCCTTCTAGGCCAAAGGCAAAAGGAAACCTTTACAGAGTTATAAGATGGAGGCTGATGCAACCTTGTCTGTATTTTAAAGCTCCCTGTGGAGGGGAGTGGCTGTGGGGAGCCAGTGAGGTAGCTGCTGCAGGGGCCCAGGGCGGTGCCAAGGCCTGGAGAGACTGGGCAGACCTGAAGGACCTCCAGGATAAGCCAGTGTGGAGGCCAAGGCGAAAGGGCATCTGTGTGAGATGTGGAGGAAGGGAGGGAGGGAGGGAGAGAGGGATGAAGGAAGGGGCAGAAGGCCCAGGAAGGCTCCAAGCTGTGGGCCTATATATTAATCAGTGCTCTCCAGAGAAACAGAGCCAACAGTAGATCTTATCTAATAAAAGAGAAACATGCAAATTGACCATACCTCTGCTACACTCACAAGCCACGCCTAGAAGCCAATCAGAGCGACTATATGCAAATTAACCTAGCCAAGATGGCGGCCGGAAGCCAGGGAGCTGGAGCAAGCAGGAGGCTTGGTTGCCACGGCGATGGAGGAAGCCAAGCTTTCCGCCTGCCCTGGCCGGCTATAGCCTCCACTCAAGGCAACAAAGTTTCAATTATAGAAGATAAATAAATCCCAGATACCTGCTTCCAGCCAGCCTCCACTGGGAGCTTGGGTGGCTGGGGGCCGTGGCCAGACTGCAAACAGCCATCAGCCCCTCACCCAGGCTGGCCAGGCACCCCAGCAGGGACCTCCACCCAGAAGGGGCTGTGACCAACCTGCAAATAGCCATCAGCCACTCACTCAGGCTGGCCACACCCTCATGGGGAGAGGGTCCCCGCTGGGGGGCTTGGCCAGCCTGCAAATAGCCATCAGCCCTTCACCCAGGTTGGCCAGGTATCCCAGCAGGGACCACCCACCCTGAAGGGGTGTGGCCAGTCTGAAAATGCCACTCAGCCCCTCATCCAGGCTGGCCAGGCACTCCAGCGGGACCCCCACCCTGATCCGGGACACCCTTCAGGGCAAACCAGCCAGCCCCAACCCATGCACCAGGCCTCTATCCTATATAATAAAAGGGTAATATGCAAATTGACCCTAACAGCAGAATGACTGGGAATAACTGGTCACTATGACACACACTGACCACCAGGGGGCAGACGTTCAATGCAGGAGCTGCCCCCTGGTGGTCAGTGCTCTCCCACAGGGGGAGCTCTGCTCAGCCACAAGCCAGGCTGAAGGCTGCCAGTACAGCGGTGGTGGTGGGAGCCTCTCCCGCCTCCTCAGCAGTGCTAAGAATGTCCGACTGCAGCTTAGGCCTGCTCCCCACTGGCAAGTGGACATACCCTGAGGGCTCCCGGGCTGCCAGAGGGATGTCTGACTGACAGCTTAGGCCCAATTCCCCAGGGAGCGGGCCTAAGCCAGCAGGTGGACATCCCCTGAGGGGTCCCAGACTGCGAGGGGACACAGGCCAGGCTGAGGGACCCCCCCGAGTGCACAAATTTTTGTGCACCGGGCCTCTAGTATATATGGAGGTGAGAAGTCCCCAATCTGCCATGTGCAAGCTGGAAACTCAGGGAAGCCCAGGTGTAATTCAGGCTGAGTGCAAAGGCCCAAGACTCAGAACCTCCGATGTCTGAGGCAGAACACGGACATCTCAGTGCAAGAAGAGTGAGTCACTTTCCTTTACCTTTTATTCTATCCAAGTGCATGGAATGGATGAGGCCACTGGGGAGGTCAAGTTTGCTTTACTTAGTCACTGATTCAAATGCAAAACTCTTCCAGAAACATCCTCTCAGACACACCCAGAAAATGTGTTATCAGCTCGGTGGGCATCCCTCAGCCCAGGCAAGCTGGCATAAAATTTACAATCACAACTATCATAGCCCATCAAAATGCCCAGCTTAGCAGGCCCCAGGGGATCACTGGGTTGCCCGCTGCCAGAGATGCTCTGATGAGAGCCTTGCTCCTTTACTGAAACGAGAAGCCTTGCCCTCTGCCACTAGCAGCAGCTCATCTGGGTCACACTTTGGCCCAGATGCCAATGGTGGTCAAGGGCTTCATTCTTTTTCTGGCTGGACCAGAGTTCCTGAGCGCCCACCAGCCCTTGTGAACAAGGCAGCCAGCACAGCCTGCACAGTGGCCCCTGTGGTGTCCTGGGTGACACCCTCCTCGTCATCCCAGCCTCTCACAGCTGACCAGGAGCCAGGCTCCTCTACCAAGAGCAGTCAGGGCAGCAGTTCTCCCACAAGCAAGCCAAAGGGTCTCCATACTGTTTGTACAACTGTGCAAACTGAGTGCAAGACAGAGTGAGACAGTGGCAGTGAGGGACGCAGAGGAGAGCAACTGTAAAGAATAGCTCCATGCGAAAGGCAGGCAGCCCTGAGCCCTGGGATTCTGCAGCGTCCTCATTCATGACGAAGGCAAGAGTGTGTGGAGCAGTAAGCAGCGCTCACTCTGCTCAGCCATGCTGAGTGCTTCACCCACATCGTCTTACTATCTTCACATTGGCCTTAGGAGAGAGAAAGCACTACCACGCTCATTGTACAGGGGGAAACCAAGGAAGAGAGCCCTAAGCAACTAGCCTCAGGAGCAGCTGGTATTCAAACCTGGGGAGTTGGGCTCCCCAGACCACATTTCTGACCCAGAGAGGCCTGTCTGGGTGGCCTTTGACAACATCCCCATATATGCCACATCCCCTGTGTACCATTTTAACTGGGAAAACACCGCATGTGTCTTTGCTTCCTGAAGCCTGATTCAAAACATTATCATTCCCCACAGCCACAGTGGGTTTTCAGCTTTCCCTCTGTGGCCTTTGATGATGGTGACCCAGACAGATGTCCCTGTATGCCACTTGCCCTCACTAAGATGGAAACCAACTCTTGGAGTCAAACAGAAAAAAAAGCCCCTGCCCATAAGTGTGCCTCTGCCCCATGCCCGCAGGCAGGGATTTGGTGGCTTTGGGGCAGTGTCCCAGTAGTCAGGCTGGGAGAAACTGCTCACCGTGCCTGGAGCAGCCTGCATCGAATGGTAAGGAACTCAGGCCAGTGTCCACTCTGCCGGGCTCGGGGCTGAGGCCAGGCTCCCGCACCCACAGGGAGTAGAGCCTGAAGGAGGGGGAAGGGAAGAAAAGAAGCCTGGGAGTCTAGCCCCCCATGTGCCTCCAGCAGGTTTTTCGACCCTGGGTGACATTGGGGCTAGGCCCCCTCACCTTCTGTTCAATTCTCTACCAAACTGACCAACCAAATCCTGATTGATAGCCTCCCACGCTCACCCCATCACTGGCTTGCAGACCAGCTGTGGTGGCTGAGGGTGCATGACCACTAATGTCACCAGAACACTGGATAGGAAGCTCCCAGAGGCTGCCCGGGCTTGGCCAGGACATAGGACAGAGTCTGGGTCCTCAGAGCCAAGGGCAGAGGGAAGAACTAAACCTATTGTAGGCAGCAGGCCTTGGTCTGAAGCCCAGATTCATGAATTTCATTGCCCCTGGCCAGGCTGACCTGACTTGCTGCCAAGCTTGGCTGAAACACACAAGAAGGCTCTGGGGCACAATCAACATCATAACCATTTTAGGTGAGACTGTCCTGCCCTCTGTCCCTTCTTTTGCCTCATTTGCCTCCATGAGGCACTCTCTCATTCTCAGACTGAGGACACTCTACTTCTCCTGCAACTGGACTCTTCCCCCTACTCCTGCTCTGCAGCTGGGCTCCTCCCCCCACTCCTGTTCTGCAGCTGGGCTCCTCCCCCCACTCCTTTCCTGCAGCTGGGCTCCTCTCCCTATGCCTGCCCTGCAGCTGGGCTCCTCCCCTCACTTCTGCCCTGCACCTGGGCTCCTCCCCTCACTTCTGCCCTGCAGCTGGGCTCCTCCCCTCA